AAAGAGCAGAGACTGAGGATGCCTGGGGTTTCCTGACCATCCAGCCCAGTCTGCTTGGTGTCCTCCAGGCCAGTGAGAGACTGCATCTCAAAAAATACAGTGGAAGGCACCAGAAGGACAGTAGCTGAGTTTGTCCTTGTCCTCTACCACACACACACACACACACACACACACACACACAGCACACCTTCTCTACCCTGGCTGTACAGATAGAATAGAAAAGAATATCATAGGGAGTTTGTTTTGTTTGTTTTAAAATACCTACAGAGATAATAAAATATAGTCTTTATAACATATTTGTTTAAAATAGTTCAGATTTACACAAAAGCTGCCAAAGTAGTACATAAAGACTCCATTTGCCCTTCATCAAACTATTTTGTGCTGAGATTTTGCATAACTGTAGTCAGATTACCAAACTGAGGCATTATCATCAGTGTGACACTCAATTAAACTCCAGACTTCAGTGAAACCTTCTGTGACTCTGCTAATAGCCTTTATCTCCTCCAAGACCTCTTTCAGAGGGTCAGCACTCTTACCCACCCTGCCATCAGGCTCTGCAGATCTCTCTTGTCTTCCACGACCTTGTCACCTTTGAAGAATATTGCTGGGGGCTCAGGCATTATGCAGAATTCCCCACACACCTGATTTACCCGATATTTCTCTGTGATTAGGCTGATGCTACTCATTCCTGGGAAGGGGGCACAGGTGTGGTAAAGTCCTTGTGAGCATCTCCTATCAAACCAACACAGGGACACTGTGTCTTATTACTAGTGATGCTAAGGCAGGGTACTGGGGACATAAGCAGGGGGAAAGGTCCTCTGCCTGGGATCTGGTTGAAGTCTTGCCAGCATCTCAGAGCTTCTTCATGGCCTTTTGGGAGGCAACTTGAGAGCCACTAAAATGGTACGAATGGCTAATTCTGGGATAATTAATCGCTTATCTCCCGTGAGGAGCCTGTATCCATGCTTGGGTATGTCTCACTTTGCCTACGCTCTCTTGCAGAGCACACACCTCTACTTGAGTGTGTGTTACTTTCTTCTGCATGCCGCTCTTTCCTTTAATCCTCATGCTTAAACCTGCTTTAAGAAACACCATTAATAGTATCAGCAACTTTACTTCACTGAACTGTTGAGTCCTGAAATCCCTTTCAGAATCACAGCCACAAATCCCGATTTGGCCTGAGCTGAGGTCCAGGAAAACTCCTCAAACTAGAGAGGGCAGAATGTGGTCCTGTGTCTCTGTCCTCTCACTGCTAACGGTCATTTGATTGGCAGAATTCCTGCCGAATTTACCCATTGTACAGTGACTATTTTTCACGTGGTCATTAACACATATCTCAAGGGAGATCCATTAAGAGCATGGAGATAACATATTTCTCTCATCTCTTTCCTACCAATGGTTTGTTGGCATGCCTTGCTTTCAACAATTGCCACACCGCCCTAGGAATGATTTGGTATCTCCTGGGTTTTATGTTTCTATATCTATTAATTGGAACTCTTCTGAAATGGCCGGCTACTTCTCCATTTGTTAACTATTTATTCGGTTCTTTATTGCAATCCTCATGGGGCTGTAGATATTTATTTTTGCCTTGTGGGTTTTGTGATCCAATATTGCTATTTATTTTGATGCTCAAACCTAAAGACACTTCAAAACCCACTTGTGCTATGACCTCTCTGTATGACATTGACCAGAATCCATGAGAGCAACATGCTGGATGATTTCCTTAAAGCTTCCTTCCGTGTGCATTACATGTTAACCCTTTCCTGCTCCCTCTAAACAGTAAGAGCAACCCACCCTCCTTTGGCGACTCTGCAGAACTCACTGTTGGTTTGAGGAAGTTAAGGCAGGCAGGCAGGCGAACGGCCTCTGGGCCAATCTGCCCCAACGCAGCCTCTTCCTCTCCCTTGGCCCCAGACATTAAGTCCAGCAAAGTATTCCTTTGAACACAGCCTTTGCATATGGAAATTCACAGACACTGATGGTTTTCAAGGGGTGAGGAAAAGGCAGGTTGGAAGTACAGCAAGGGGGAATGTGGCCTGAAGCAAGGGAAGACTTTCTGACTGGAAAGGCAGATTGCAGCTGACGGCAGACTCCCATCCTAGAGGGCAGCTCCTACTCTGCCTCAGCTCTGCATTCCCAAGCCCAGAAAAGGACTTTTCAATCCTTTGGACAAAATGTTCAAAGATGAAAACAACTTTCACTTTCATGAGTGGCCACTTGGACACCTGAAACCATGACACCCAAATACACAAATCTAATCTCACTGTAGGAGATCAATATGGAACCCAATAAGTTCCCATTCAAAGAGATGGTCCTCTTGAATAAGGAAATTGATCCCCAGAACCCTTTCGCCGACTTCCAATTACGCTCCATTCCTAGAGGCTGCATCAGCCATGGTATTTTTAGAAACCTAATTGTTTCTTTAGTAGATAGATGCCAATAAGATGACTAAAACCTGGGTGAATCACATTTAAAAGCTGAACTGATATGAAAGAAAAGATTAACCCCTGTAATAGCATGGCAGATGAATTTGGCAGCCTTCCCCAGTCACGCCATATGAACCCGCAGAGATGGATTTCACACATCTACTCCTTGGTTTTTATCATTTGCTTGTTTGAGTTTTGGTTTACTTATTTATTTATTGCTGTTGTTTTATATTTGCTTTAGAGAAGGTCCCACTCTATAACCCAGACTAGCCTTGTACTCACAGTGATCCTCCTGCCTCAGCTTCTGAAGTGCTGGGATTACAGGTGTGATTTACCATGAAAGCTCTTCTGTCCCCTTTTGTCTGTTGGTTATAAGTAGGGCCAGTTCCTACCTGAGCTTTCTCCAGCATGGATCTTCTGTATTGGAAATGCTTTCTACATTATTCCAGGCCTAGGATAAGTATTCAGTGAAAAACTGCAGTGGTTGACAGGACAGGTGAGCAGTTCCTGATCCAAGATGGGCTTAACTTAGAGATGCAAAGGGTTAACCCAGCACAGCATCTGGGCTGGCAGTACGAAAATAAATCTCTCTTCCTGGAACAACTTTAACCTAAGAGGAGAAGCTGCCCAGAGGTTTATTGTTGTCAGAGCCACAGACTTGACACCTCTCCTGATAAAAGACTTCGATCTCTGACCCCTGGAAGGCTGCTCCTCTAAAACTCATTTGAGTATTGATCTCCTGCAAAGAAAAAGAATAGGAGGTAGCTGGCAGGAGGAGGTCTTGGGGATCACTTATCTTAGAGGAAGGTGAGGATAAGCTGGGGATAGCTGTGTGGATAGCTCTTCTTAGAGGAGGGCCTCAGGCATCGAGTGTTGAAAGGCCAAGGCAAGAGCCTTATCCTAGCAGGAGTGTCTGACCTTTTGACCTTGTAACATACCATTGTGGAGTACACACGTGTTAGGCTACATTTGTAGCTATCTTGGGATATACATGGCAGCAGACTGGACATGACTAGTGGCTCAAAACAGCAAGGGTTGTGTGATGAAAACCTTGAAGGAGCTACCTGTCTATAGTTTCAAGCCCAGAAGTGGGAACAGTGTTCTAGGCCAGAGACTAGTCTGATAACAGAGCACATTTATTTGTCTCCTTATAACAAGGCGCCCACCACACACACAGCATCCATATGCTAGAACTGGGTCTACCACCTTGAAGAAACTGATCAAATGTTCTTATCTGAGGCGGAGACAGAGGACAAAGTGAAAGCACGTCAGGACTGTCAGCCTACCCCGAAGGGATGGGAGTTGAGAGTTTCTGGACCCAGGGACCTAGACTCTGGACATGTGATCATCTGCAAGAGTGGGAATGAAACAGTGGCTGTCTGCTGTCTGTTTTCCTTCTTACCCCCATGAAACCAGACTTAGAATCACTAGAGGAGAATATTCTGTAGTGGTGTGGCATTCCACTGCTCATACCTTCCAAGGACAGAAACTCAAACATTGTTTATTACCTCTGTACTAGGCACAGTCCCAGAAATGAGATAAATCCCTGCCCTCACTAAATAGGTAAAGAACAGCAGTTTCAAGGAGATCCGTACACTAAGGAGGCTGACATGTGGAGTGAGGGGTGGAAGGTGAGGCACTGAGGGTGTCTTAGTGACTGACTATGCTGTGATGCGATTCCAGGACCAAGGCAGCTTATAACAGAAAGCACGCCACTGGGGGTTTGCTTACAGTTTGTGGGGGGAGGGTTAGTCCATGACCATCATGACAGGGAGACGTGGTGCGGGAGCAATAGCTGAGAACTTATACCCTGGTCCATACACAGGAGGCAGAGAGAGGGCGCCTGGGCCTGGTGTGGGCTTTTGAAAGCCCCAGTCCCCATCCCCAGTGACACACTTTGTCCAACAAGGCTATACCTCCTAATCCTAAACAGTCCACCAATTAGGAACCAAACATTCAAATATTTGAGCCCATGTAGGCCATTCTCATTCAAACCCCCACAAGCAGGATGCATTTGATTGCCCACATGGAGAAGTGGCTATCCTCAAGTACAGAGGTTCTGAGGTGGGACGAGGTTGGTACAGCCAGCAATCAGAAAGTCCAGCATGCCTAAAGCAGAGTGAGCAATGCCGGGGTGGCTTAAGGCAGGACTCCACAGAGGAGCCAGGCCATGCCTCACTGGGAGGCCCCTGTGGAGACAGAGTGCAGCGGTGAGGAGGCAAACACTGGCTCCGGGGAGTTGAGTAGCAAGTGTGGCAACTGGAAACAATGGTACAACGATGCACACATACCGTCCTAAAGCCAGAGACAGGAACATCGACCGCATTTGTAGGCCCTGACACTGCCCGTGTTTTACAGCCTCAAATCCCTTTTGGTTTTCTTATTGCTTCAACACCAGCAAAAACATCTGCTGAAGTTCATTTGATGAGAAAATTATGATTTGTGTCCGTCAGCTCATAAGAATAACATCCTTCTTGAAGCGGTCAATGAAAAGGCACATTTTGTGTTGTGTGTGGTTTGGGCTTTTGTTTTGCTCTGCTTTGCTTTAATAGTTACCTCACTTTCCTCCCCCAGGGATCCTAAGCGCCCTTCAGTACCTTACCATTACTACGAGACTTCGGGACCCGATGAATGTACAATGTACCTCTCGCATGAGCGGGGCCGCAAGGGCAGTCACCACCGTTTCATCACGGAGAAGCGGGTGTTTAAGAACTGGGCACGGACATTCAACATTCACTTTTTCCAACCACACTGGAAACCAGAGTCACCCTCTGTGAACCATGCGGAGGACAAGCCTGTGTTCTGAGGAGTGCACTTGCCAGATAGGAAGGTGTGGTGTCCACACCATCAGCCAGGAGAGGAAGGACTTGAACTCCAGGCAGGGGATGGGAACTGGACAGTGGTGCCCGTCAGCACCATGGACAGAACCCCAAGGCCAGAAAAAGTTTCTGAATGAATACATCCTAATGAGTATCGTCTCTTCGAAAGGGAAACTGAACCCTCGATTCAGTGACACTGCCATGGCTAGGAACACTCCAGGGTGGAAGTATTGCCTTCGAAACCGAAACAGGAACCTTCCATTGCATATCTTTACAGACAGACATCCACCTGACCCACAGTCTTTGTCATTTGTCAGACCCTGTGATTTGTAAAAAGCCTGAAAGTAAGGACATGTTTCTGAAGAGCACATCTCCAATGATTTTCATAAAGCAAATGTCTGCTATTTATTTATTGAGAGTTTTTTAGTGTACTCTAGGCAGTATTTTTATAGATTATGTGGCAATTTATTCTTCCTGACTCTTTAATCCTGACGGTGGTTGGAATGGCCTAGAATTGAGCTGATGAGTTACTGCATTCACAATGCTCTCTATTAGCTTGGAATCCGTGTGTGACGTGGAAATGTGTGGCACTGTTTGAACCCCTCAGCTTCAGGCAAATTGCTCTTTCATAACGAGAACAGCTATAACGCTTTCTCATGTACATAAATGTTCAAAAGAGCAAAATTGAAAACCAAAAACTATGTTATTAAAACAAAAAGATGCTAATGAGAGGGATTCAGAGACACAATAGCTTTCTTCAGCAGCAACGGATACAAGCAATTTCTCGTTAAGCTCTGCTTTCCTCATCTTTAGAACGTATCAGAAGATCCCTTAAGTTCCTCTTGCAAAGCTAAGATTGTACACACCCCTTGCTGACCTCCATGGGGACTGCACACTTGGACTGATGGGACCCAGACAGCAGCTGGGAGCGTCAAGTCAGGGTGAAGATGTTAGGGTCCTCTGGCGGAAATCAGGTTTCCTCCCAGGCCTCTCTGGTCTAAACTCCATCCCTTGCCTCTCTAAGAAAGGGAGAGAAGGAGGGAGGGGTGGAGGCTTCTGGATGCCCCCTGACTGTGAGTGCCAAGAGCTGCCCTTTTCTGAGAAGAGAACACAAAGACACTCCCCAGTTCACAGCTCACTGCCCCATGAGCTGCTCTGGCCCACTGGGTAATATGAGGGATTCACTCACTTCATTCAAATCCAAGATCAATAGGATTACATGTTTTCATTTTAAAAAGTTATATTGCTCAGAAAAGTAAGAATATACTAGACTTTTCCTCGTATACTGCCAAAGGAGCATTAGTGTCTCTAGTGACAGATTTGAAGGCAGCAGCTAATGTTGTGAGGGAACAGGCACTACTTTACACACAGGACAGGGCGAGTCTCACATCACCAGTTCTTCCCCTCTTCTTAATTAGTGATAATGCCCCTTTCCCTTTCATTAACTACAACTATTAATTATGCAGAGTACCATTGTGGAGACTCAAATATAGTCCAGGTATTCAGACAGCAAAAACAAAGTATTATTGTGGTATGGCTTGGGTTATTAAAAGTCAGTAAAATTGTTTTGAAAGTGTCTTCTGAGGTTTTGTAGGAAAATGAATTTTATCCTGCCACAGTGGAACCTTTTTCTTTTCATGAACACAGGAAGAAGGGTGAGAATTGCACACAGTGATTGACAGGTCTCCTTCACAATCCCTTGAAGAGATTCTTTGTTGAAATGTAAGCAGTTCCTTTAACAATTCCTAGACTTAGGGAAATTTGGAAAAGTCTACCTGCCAGAATGCAACTCTGTCACCTGACCCACTATTGCACATGTCTGAGCATCTCTAGGTTTTGTGGTTTTCTTTTTTAAAAGGAAGAAAAAGCCCACAAAGAGCCTCAAGAGGAGCCCATCCTTTGTCATTTCTTTCTCTCAAATACTCAAAAGGATGAGAAGCAAGCAAATGCCCAGAATCTTGGCTCTTTCACAGGCAAATATTTTAAATTCACATGTAGCTACAATATGTGACTTCATATTTTTTTCAAAAACATGGTGTAGCTAAGTGTAAGAAATTATCACTTGGGTCATGGTTTTAGTGCAGTATTAAAGAAAACGCCGAGAGCTCTGATGGCTTACGCTGATGGACCTGGTTGTGGGCAATTGAATTCATGTCTTACCACTATCATTTCACAACTGTCAGGCTTAATGCCATTCAACACCATTAAACATAAACTCGGATATAAAAGACTCAAAACCCTGTTTACAGACTTCATGATTCTGGGATTTGCGAAGTCACAGTCATACTTGGTGTGTTCCACACCTTTTTCTTCTCTCCCCAGTGGCATCGTCAGCCTCCTCCTGGCTTTTAAAACCACAGCAATACGATGCCACAGCTGGCCGATCCATGGCTTCTGTTATTTCAACACAAGAACATTTGGCAGAGGCCATTACAATAGATAGCCATTATGGGCAAAGATACAGGGATTCACAAACAAAATGAATCACTTCAAATGGCCCATAAAAAGAGGAATCTCACATTTAATATTCTACAGTAAATATTCACCCAAGAAAGCGCACATTAAAAGAACATTAGGAGGTAAATATTCAGCGTGCTGTGTGGGGACTTGGCTGTGTGATTCCCATTCCCACAAACGGGCATTAGGGAGCTAAGCCCTGTGCTTTGCTCACCCTGCTTTATACTCCTTAGGGCTAGACACAGAAACAGATTGATTCGGGGACACAAAGGTCCTAAGAGGGTGGAGTTCAGTGCTTCATAAAACTAAACAAAAACAAACAGCAAAGTCCTGCGCCTAAAGGGTAAGCTATGTGGCCTCTTGGAACCCTTGGGTTGCTGCTGTCTAGAGACAAGGTGCCTCTTGTCTTCCAGGCCTCCCATCTCTGAGCCACCCAAACGACATTAAAATGGACACATAATCTCAAAGTGAAATAAACACCACATTTCAGCTTTCAAATGACAATTTAGAAGGTAAATGAATGGTAGGAAGTGAGAGGGAAAATAGAATTCCGTTAGGACAAAGACCTACTGTTTAAATACCTACACACCCATTGTGTACTTCTCCATACTTGCCCTGGCTGATGACCCTGGGTCTCCCAGAGGGAATCCCACCCAAACAGACGCTTCTCACCTGGTCTGCATGTTTCCCACAGATTATTCTCTTCCTTCATCTTCCTGCTTCTCTTGAGCCCCCATCTCTTTGCCATCAACCTCTCCAGACGCCCCTGTCTGCTAAAACCCTCCAGTGTTGCGTTGGGAGGTCTTCCCAGTGTGCTGTTAACTCTAGATCTGTGGAGGAACAGGTTCGGTGTAGACCTCCCAGAGCAGTGGCGTGGTGGCTTCAAGAGTCTACCCTACTCCAAGACAAAGGCACTGTGGATGTGCCTCCCGGCTGGCCTAAACTGGGGAAGGAAGGGGCTTAAGCCCCAAAAGTAGGGCCATCTTGGAAAAGCAGGGCAGAGTGTCACCCTCTCTGAAGTTTCTCAAAAAAAAAAAAACCAAACCTGAAAAACCTAAAGTGCAAAGCCTGAGGAGGTAGGGCAGAGGAGTCGTCGATGGCCTAGGTTTTAGCCATACAGGAAGACATCTGAAGTGGAAAGAGGTGAGGCTGTCCTGAAGGCTCAGAAGGTTGTAGCTCACTCCCCCACCTACTCAGGGTATTGAAATGGAAATGGAAAAACAAAAGGCTGAGATCCTGTTTTGTACTGTGTCCCATATGACATGCTACCTTGGATTGTCCTGTGTCTTTCTATGTATGTGTCTGTTAGATGAGATTGTAAGCTCCTTGAGGGCAGGGGCTGTCTCTCCTTTGTCTTTGTAGCCCCATACCTAGTACAGTGCCTTGCACACAATAGGCGCTCAATAAATGTCTGTTGTTGATGTTGTCCACTTTAATGTTGACGCATTGGATTGATACTCGAACACAAATCCATTCTATTGTAAAAGAGCGAGTGGTTCGTCGAGTTGGGAGGTAGATAAATTTCAAGTGGGTTTTACAAGGTCAGTTTCTAAACATACAATGTGTTCAGTCAACAGAACTGACCTACATATGGGTAGGACAACCTTGCAGAGTTCATTAGGCTTGCTAATGCTGCCTGGACTGAACACACAGGGAAGGTAAAGTTCAGTGAGCTTTGTGTTTTCACCGTTAGCAAAGTGCTCTGAGCACAAATTAAATTTAATATTGACAAATGCTACACCAAGTGCAGACAGGCAAAAAAGCAGCAAGGACTCTGACTCCAGTGTCTAGACCACAGAAGACAGGCTAAAAGGAGGCAACAAACAGCTCCTCTTCACCTTATTGACTGCCTCGTGAAGGTGCTGGGGAAAGCTGCGTCAAAATTAAGGACACGCTCATCTTAAAAGAAAAATGGAAAAAAGGAGATAGCATAAAAGCAGAGACTTTTGTTCCCGTGAAGCAGATCCGGCTTTATCCCTATCAGGAAGCGAGGGGGAGAACATGAGGGCCTCTGCAGTCACCTCGGCCTGCCCCTGGAGCCTGTCATCCTGGCGGCAGGAGAGGGCAAGGCAGTAGAGGCGGGAAAGGTGAGCGAGCTGCTCACACAGGGCTTCTCTCCAAAGGACGGGGTCACTGCCTTCTTGGGTTTGACGACACTCCCACACTCACTCTGTCCCTCCACAACCTCAGCCAACCACCACAGCTGCATTTGCTAACGCTGAGGAAGAGGCCCTGAGACTCTGGAAGGAGGGTGGCACTTGCTCTTGGACCATAATTAGACATTTCTCCCCATTAGTGCACATTTGGAATTGTTTAAAAGTCACTCGAGCAGGACTTCAAACAGACTCAACAGGGACAGTGTGAAGACCCTCACTCATGCTGGGCTTTCTGTCCTGGAGAGCATTCCTGCTCCCATGTAGTCACCTCTGTGTCCTGAACAACATGCCCGCTCCCATGTAGTCGCCTCTGTGTTCTGGAGAGCATGCCCTCTCCCATGTAGTCACCTATGTGTCCTGGAGAGCATTCCGGC